CAAGAAATCGGCCCATGGCTGTTTCCACCATGGCCAATTCGGGTCGTTCGTTCAGATGAGACGTCCAAGCAAGTTGAAGTCTTTGGGAAGTAGGTTTCGACAGCAAGGGCCTACCCCTCTTGAAAGCTGCTCCACCCAGCCTACGGTTTCTATAAAGGCCGGCTCCAGACTGTATCCGGATTCTTCCGTACCCAGCGTGTCTTCGGCCCGACCTTTCGATGGAGATTGATGACGATGGAAATGCCTGGTGACGATCGTGAGATGACGTGGATGACAATGAACCCTTCGGTGGATGATTCTCCTGATGCTCCCAGTGGTGGCGGCGATGTTCCGCCACCTACCGATCTTTCGAGCACACTTGATGACGAAGATATTTAAGATTCCGACGGAAACTGGAGTAATCTTGGCCCAGCTCGTCCTCCGCCTCCACCTCGGCCAAACCCTTCGCCGATGATTACTTCTCCAATCATAGTCGGCGGTCCGCCTCCTTCGTCACCGGCAAGTCACGAAGCACCATCATCTTCACCTCCTGTTCCGGTGTCTCCTCGTCCGTCTTCTTGGACTCTCGATGCTGGACCTGGGCGCATGATCACGGCCACCTACACTTCGGTGCCGCGTCGTGGAGGTGCACCGTCGGTTGAGCCGTTACCTCACCGGGTGTTGGTAGGTTCTCACCCCACGGTACCGGCTTCGTCCACCTTGTCACCGTGGGCTCTTCCGTAGTTGAACATGGAGTTTACTGACGCAGGTGCCAAGAAGTGTTTCGAGCGACTCTTGAGCTTTACCCTACCTGTACCAGCTGGTGAGGTGACCGTACGTACACCGTTGGAGGGTCTCCAAGCGTACTTTGACTATTCGCATCCTGATCTCCCGTACCAGCAACTTCGGCAGCTCTATCCTCTTCAAGTCTGTCTCTTCGACACTGTCGGCTTTGATCCAAGCGTCCCCATCTCAAAGCGTGCTCTGGATTGAGACTCGTCTCAAGATGATCTGGGCGAACCTTCGGGATGACGGCGGTAAGCAAAGTGACCTCGGGTTCGCGTTGTGGGAGCGTCTCCACTGGCTTCCGTTGGCTGGTATTGAGCGAGGTCTCGTTTAAGAAGCCAAAAAGGTTGGCCACGCCAAGGAGCGCTTGAAGGAACTGAGAGCTCTGTTGAAGAAGCTCTTTAGTGAGCGCGACCGTCGTGCCGATCGTCTTCGTAACACGTACCGTGAACAGTACATGGCGTGTAGTCATGACTTGGTTTCCTCTGGTACCTCCGGCGCGCCGTTCATTCGTCCTGAGTTGGTTTTGGAGCCGTCGAAGCCATGGTACCCGATCGAGAACTTGCCGTTCGCACCTCGGACTTCCGACTGGCTTCCCGAAGTTCCGGCTCTCGATGCTCGTCAACCCTGGCGTACTGGATGAATGAATGCGCCGCATCAGCACCCGTACAACACCACGTAATTCTCGTGCCAGTGTAATCCGGAGCTTTTCAATCCTCGTGGTACGCGTTTCGTGAATGTGTACCGAAGCGTGCTCGTTGACCCGTCTCTGGATTCTACTGAGGTTATTCCAAATGCGATTCAGCGACGCCAATTCCGTTTTGCGAGTTTCAGCTAGGATGACACGACTGACCTTTGATTCCAGCGCTTCAGTGGCTAACGAATCCGCGGCAGCGTTGTATTCGCGTACAGCGTGAAGATATTTAACTGATTGAAGCTTGGCCGCGAGTTCCTTGTGAGTATTCAACAGCGCTAGCAAAGTTTTCTTCCTGCGTGCGATCACCCCTAGGGATTGTTGAATCGCGAGCCTTGAGTCACCAACGATGACTAAATCCTTGGCACCGTGCGCAATAGCAGGCTTGACACCGTTTATCATACCTGCACCCAATGGGTGTGGTCCCGAGAGGCAAGCGTTGCAGCATT